CTGTATATAGATGTGGAACATTAGCTCAAGTGGGTAGGCATTATCCCTGCTCTGATACTAATTTTGGAACAATTCCTTGAATTTGCCATCGCTTTGATGCAGCGGTTTTGAGTTATGTACTAGGATTCTGGTTTTGGCAATTCTCCGTAGTTTTCATCGATTTATATAACAGTAAATATACATATGTTTATTTATGGGATAAGGTGGCTGAACAGTTGACAGATCACTTTATGGATAGCCGGGATCGCGGGCGGGGGAGCAGGAGAAGGAACGGGGAGGTTTTTAGTCAGTAAGAGTCGGACACCCTTTCTCACCATACGTTGGGTGAAAAAATATTTTTTTCTTTCATTTACTAAAAATCGCGGGTTACTCACGTGTATAAATTGAGAAACGTCTTCTAGTTTCGAACCACAGAGGGGTTCTTCCTAATGTGACGCGGCAATGTCGCGCAGCCTTCAACAAAAAAAGATCATATTGCGGCAAGCAATTTGCGTCGCCCGAGGACAAAGTAAAGTGAGGTTTTTTTGAGTTGGGATAATCATCTTCAACTGACTTCTCCCGCTCTGGGTTGGGTGAGGGTCTTACTGAGGCAAAGATTGAAAACCAGAGGAGTTGGAAGTGCGTTAGCGGTCTTTTGGCAGATTGCTACATTATTATAAATTGTCGTTGGTGGCACATATTTCTGCAAAAGGGCTTTTTAACAATAATAAGAAACAATGTTATAAGAAATCGTAAATATCTACTGAGATTCAATGAAGATTCTCTCCCTTCTCTTAAACTTCGGAAAATTTGTCAAACAATTCCCCTTCTCCTCTCGCCCTCAATCTCGAAATCGTCTGCCTTCTAGATCCTTGCGCATCTTTGCAATTGTTTACCCCGAAAGGAGAAGAACATTCGTGTGCCGAACTCCATCTTAATAAAAGCCGATGCCTCTGCGCTTGTCATTTCCGATGATATCTAATGTCTGACACATTTTTACTCGAAATTCAAAGCTGAAGCCTTCTGAATCATTAAATTTATAAAATAAAATATAGATGAAATTGATATCTGTATTAATTTGCATTCGTTGTACACATATTTCAAATACGGAATTAGTTCACAATACAGTGGTGCGCAATGTACATGTATACACGAAATAGAGATTCAAACAAACACAAAAACATGTAATTAAAAGCTACCCAACTAAAGGTATGCCTTTAAAAAGTTATATTAGGTTTCCTATTTACAGAGCTTTTCTAAACGAAAGCTTCGACAGTTTTTTTCAAGCACGGGTCTGGTATGAAACCCGTTAGTAGCTTGTACTAAAACAACAGACCCTTTTATGCATAAAATACGGATTTTTGTTTGTAAGTTTTTGACGTTTCATCCCGTTTTCGGCGCTTCAATAGACAAAGTTGTATGAAAACCAGTAGGGTAAAGGTAGCTGTTATGAGCCATCGATCGTACTGTGTGATATTAATTTATGGATTAACACAAATCCATTTTTTTATGTAATAAGTCTGCAAACGAGCATTCGGATTACCTGATGGTAAGCAATCAGCGCCGCCCATGGACACTCGCAACGGAGGAGTTACGAGTGCGTTGCCGACCTTTTAGGGATTAGGGATTTGGAAATTTAGGGATTGAGGAGGGATTGGGGGAGGGGAAGGATTAGGCCTCCGGTAACCTCACTCACACGGCGAAACACAACGCAGTGGTTATTTCACGCCGGTTTTCTGTGAGGCCGTGGTATCACTCCGGTCGCGCCGACCCATTCGTGCCGAAGCATGGCTCTCCCACACTTAAACACCATTCAAAGTTAACATTATATGCTCCTCATTTAAAGTCTGATAAGTAAATAGAAATTTCTGAAAGTCAAGTATTGATTTGACGAAATATGAAAATGTACACGAAGACATCATATCACGAAAAAAAAACATTAAAATTATGATCAACGAGGCCACCATATTAAATTATTATGATCAATGCAAAACTGAGTTCCTTTATAACAATATTAGAATTGTAGATGCACTTTGTCCACCGGGTCCTACTAAGATACTAATGGTATAAAATGGCACGTCCAGGTTTAAGAAAAAACAAAGCTTTTAAAGTTAAAACGCCAGTAATTTAGTTAATGATTGTGATGAGCACAATTAAGTTACATTTAAATTCTTAATGGGTTGCTCTTTTTCTAAACGATCGCGTTTTCCTTGTTACTCGGCGAGATTAATTTTACAATGCATCTTCGAGTTTTGTGTTTTTTAGTCGATCGAAAGATTATTTTGTCTACTTGGAAGTGAGTTAAGATTAGAATAGATTAAAGCAACATTTCGTTAAGGTTTTAAACTTTTTAGGTTTAGTAGTCATAATTAATAGTAATGAGATAATTTATTCATTACTAAGGTAGATTCTTAAGGGAGTGTAGTCAGAATATAATTGAGAGTACTGATGGTATACTGGTGCCGACCATGAGCAAATTCTGTTGTTCTCTCCAAGAATTTTTTGCCCTACACTATAATTTGTATCGGAAACTCCTGTATCGTGTATTAGTTTACAATCATGAAATTGTAGATGATGTATTTAGAATTTTGTGTGGTCAATAAATTATATCTCATTTTTTTTAAAGGACCATTTTCCCAACCTTTACCTCAATCGTGTGGTTTATTTACAAAGTCCATATTTTTTTAATTAGCTCGCAAACTTGCAGATGTATTACCTTATGATAAGCAATAAGCGCCGCCCATTGACACTCGTAATATAACAAATGCGTTATCGACCTCTAGTAGATTTTAGGATAGGTGATATGAGGATTGAGGATGAGTGGGGGGCGGGGCGCTGTTTTTCTTTGCCCGTGCTGAAACATGGCTTTCCACACATTCGATTATTAATTAGATTCCTAGAATTTGTATAACAGTTGCTTTTACCCTACACTATGAAACCTATAGCGTCCCAGCCTTTGAATGCAGACTGTGCTGTAGGAATTTTTGATTTTATTTTTGTATGACGGGGACAAAGGATGGATTCGTATGAACAAACTAGCTTTTGTTTAAAACACGGTCAAACGGGATGGGGGTCAGTGTATTGTATTGTAATTAGGCTAGTTGATACTTGAGTTTGTGAATGTTTGAATATAGAAACACGTTTTGGTATTTACTTATTAGCTTAGGAATACAGTACCTTCATAATATGGAAAAGACTAAAGAATTTGATTGGATGATGATGAAGATTTTTTTTAATACTTTGCCCCACGCTATGGATTTTTCCTGTGTTACACATGTACATAATTCACCCAGACCCGGAACAACAATTTTTGGATTATACAAACAACATGTTTCGTGTGGAACTCGAACTAGCGACACATTGCCCTGCAACCAGTTGCCCAACCACCGCACCAACAATGCAGTCAAATGTTATGATATCTACATAGAAATAGTCTTAAAACTGATTTCTAGAATTATCTTTCGATATTTTTTTTATTGTAGCCTATAAAAGGAGTGAGGTTTTCGTTTGTACTCATTACTTATAGTCACAGAAGAGAAAGTACAGAAACTCAAGTCAAGTTTAAGCGTGGGAGAGCCATGCTTCGGCCCGAATGGGTCGGCTCGACCGGAGTGATATCACGGCCTCACAGAAAACCGGCGTGAAACAACCACAGTGTTGTGTTTCGCCGCGTGAGTGAGGTTACCGGAGGCCCAATCCTTCCCCTTCCCAATCCCTCCCCAGTTCCTAAATCTCCAAATCCCTAATCCCTTAAAGGTCGGCAACGCACTCGTAACTCCTCCGTTGCGGGTGTCCATGGGCGGCGCTGATTGCTTACCATCAGGTAATCCGTCTGCCCGTTTGCCGACCTATTACATAAAAAAAAAGTCAATTCACTGGTAATTGTTTGCTTGATGCCATATGATACAACGATCTTCGGCCACCGCAAGCGCGGGTAAGCGGACGACGAGACCAGAACCAGGCCCGAGTGTGCGGCGCGTAGCGTTCCACGCGCGCTTCAAAGAGCCTATAGACAATCACAGATGGGGACCTATAGGGTTGATGTTCGCAAGAAACAACTTTAGAATGGTCGGCAAGCCAGCTAAACATATGAGCAATAAAAAGATGTCACTACTGAAACACCGCAATAACTTCCATTGAATCCTAGTTTATCAATATTTTATAACATACACACACACATACACATTAATATCAGTATATTCTTCAGTATCTAATCAAAATACAAGTACTTAAATATATTAAATAAACCTTCTGCATCTGTCTATCATAATAACTTCGTTAGCGTGCTCTCACTTCGCTAATTTAATGAGGAAGCTGTCTTATGTCAGGCACAGAGCATCTTGACGACTGCGTACGTAAGGATCGGTATCGTGGTGTGAGTGAAATTCCAACACAATTGCAATATTTTGTACTACGTAGGTACTACGTCTAGGTAATGTTTTCGAGTTGTTGTTTTGACAGCAGACAAGTTTTTGGTTGTAATAACTGAATTTTAAACAAAGAAAGTTTGTATTTTGCTTGAAATCATTCTGTCTGCAAATTTAGTTCGTTGTGAGCCTGTTTCGCAATATCTAAATAACTGATAAGTAACAGATAAATTTTGAATATAGAACTTTATTTGGATGAACTTCGAAAAAACTCGAACAAAAAAGGGTAAATCTGCGATAGAAAAAAGTTGGCATCTAAGGCTAAGGCTAAGGTAAGGCAGGATAAAAAGAAAAAAATATTTTGTTTATAACACATTTAATAAAATACAGTGCAAATACATGTTGAACATCAACAACAGTAATTCGAAAATGTGCCAAAGGATCACACTTCTAATATTTAAGAAGAATTCTAACTTTATTTTATTTAAAAGATTACTGCTGCAATTCACCAATCGAATTACAAACATCTTTATCAATACTTGCGTCTAAATATCTAAGGCCAATGAATGGTCAAACTCGAAACACGATATTTTCCACAAATAAATACACTACGGTTGTGAAGAAACTTCCAAGGTTAACGGCCATCTTGTCGAATTAATCCTTAACATCGGAGCCTAGTGCTTTATCAATACTTGTAAACACGCTGGTACAGACCTTCTTGCAGCCTCGTTTGAACAACATCACAGACTTGCCTAGCATTAGTAGTTTCTGTGCTTTTCTGTGCTCATTCTGTGCTGGTTTCCGACGGCGCTTTGATCGACGATGAAGTTGAATTTCTACTGCCAATGATATCGCTGGAAAATAAGAAGGGGTCACGGTTGTATATGAGATATCCGCAGTTATATAAATATGAGTTATAGTATAAGTTTTGATTGCTTACTTCCAAATAAATCAATAAATCATTGTGAACATAATTATTGATGCATTCATTGCAGCATATGCTTGTCTGTAGTAAAAAACACCTAAAAACGAAGTCAAAACTAAACATTATAGCTATATCTTTTTCAGAATAAGACAAGATAGTTATAGAATTTCGGCTTGAAACAAAACTTAGGTTGGTTTATTGCGTGAGTCAGGTTACCGGAGCCTCCTTACCACCCATCATTCAAAAACCCCTCATTTAAAAACACTAGCAACGCACCTACCTATGCCTTAAAAAGTTATTTACTAAACTAAATGTACATATCTACTTCCTTTGTACTGAATCCTATCAACTGTTATACTACTCGTACCTGCCAATAGATGTCCTATGCCGAGCAAACAGAACGCGCCTCTGAGCATCCTCAAAGACACTGGCTGCAGACCTTTTGTCGATTCTCCTTGTGGCTGCAATATAAACTCGATATTGTAGCTACTACTGCAATATAGAAGCGACTATGTACATTGGATATGGGGTGAAGAGTTGAGGCTATTGAATTGGTGTCATTGTTTTATTAAAGCGGCAGTTGATAATCTAAGAGTAATTTTTTAATAGTCTTGAAAACAAAGATTTGTTCGTGTGAATTTATAGAGAAAAGTTCTACTTGTAGTTACGCAGATGACGATGATGTCGCGACATCGATGTCGACGCGACGCGCACGCTGCTCACGCATAAGAGGCCCGTCGATTAAAAACTAGTCGATCTTTCTAATTTAATTCACAGTCGTTGTTTTCAATAAGTACTGACATATTTCTCACAATAGCTATATTCCAAATAGTTATTGTGAATATATTGGTATTCATATACTACTATTATGTAGTTATGTTATGTGAGAGGAAACGTTCTGGGGCTCACATATAGTTATGTTACGTGGAGGTAGTCCTTCTACTAATACGTACACGAGCCTCATTATATAACACCGGACGCAATTACATATTGTGCTTTAGTTGAGATTTCTTTGAAAACGATAAATACTTCATTTGCCCGAAATCTATTATAATTAAAACCTTATAAAACAACTACACACGTACAGTTTGCGATGAAGCAGTAGCAGATTCTCCCATTACTTCACCGCCTTGTTTATCACTTTCTGTCACCGGATCCGACCTTCTAGCATGTTCTGGAAGATTCTTGTACTCATCTGTAGTCATCTTCGCAATAATACCCGCCTCAAATAGCGTCATGACCCTAAGGAGAAAGGTAATAAGCGCCTTTTATTTAATGTCCGAAAAACTAACTTATTTGTATAGCAATAAAGTTGTTAGCGAACTATTTTACTTAGTTCCAAAATAGCTGAAATTATTGTTGATACTTTGAGCTCTATAATTAGCTTGTCTGGAATTTTGATTGTTCTACAGAAGAATTTAAGGTTCAATCTTGTGTGATTTGACAGATTTGGCGACAGAGTCACAAAGAAAAGGAATTGGCTTACATATTTTATTATAGGGACCGAAATGTTACAAAGAGATTTTCATAATACTACTTATTTTGGTAACTTATACTATATTTTTATTTAATAAATATGTTTTTCTATGTTTGTTACTCACACATTGTTAACGGTTTCCAAATACGGGCATCCGATTTGTAAAGCTATCGCTGAATACCGTGTGTATAGCTTTTCACTCAAGTGAAAGTTATGGGAACCTGGAAAATAAGTTTGAATCTTTTTCTTATAAGTATAAGATTGGTTTCGCTATGTATTAAGCAGTTATTAATATATTTTCGTTGAAAAATAAAGTAAATGATACTGAGTGTAGTTCGGGACTCAGAGGGGGTGATTTCAAACAGTATTTTCATTGTGTTTCGCCATGAGAGTGAGGTTATCGGCGTCTCCATAATTCCAATCATACCCGGACCCCTAATCTCCAAGCCCCAAATCCCATACAGCAAAAAAAAAACGGCGAGAAAAATATTTATAACGCCTTTGGTGTTGCGGCTGTCCATGGTTAGCGCTGATGCTTGGCCCACACTAACGGGAAATGACATTCATTATCGCGATATTTGTCGTTAATCGTTGGTGTAATTTGATCACTAAACAAATGATTTAAGGTATATTTTTCATTGTTTAATATCATTAAATATTGTTTATTATCGATAATTATTGACATTTCCCAACAGTGTGGGCCCAGCATGTTTGCCACCGATAATCATCAAAAAACTAATTATAATATTTACCAAATCTCTCAGTATCGTAGTACAGAGTTTCTCTCCCGCCCAATACAGCAACTCGTTTATGTGAGAGCACAAGCCGTACGCCCACTTCAACGTTGCGCACGCGCTGAACTCGTTGACGACGCATCAGATTCGCAAGACGTCCATATACACCTGTACCGTTCTAAAAAGTTAACAATATATTAAAAATATTTGGAAAAATTCGTATTTGCAATCTTTCATACTTAATTAAATAAGTATTTTTAAACATATAAATCATCTAAATACATTTAAGGGTTGACGTTTCGACATATAAATTATGTTGAAATGTTATCTTATTTATTACGTAATGAAATCGAGAATTAAAAACACACATAATTCGATCTATGATAAACATAAATCTTAAAGTTTTATACATTTATTAATGAACGATATAGAAACAGTATACAAGAAAACAATTACAATTTTTTTTATTGAACGTTATCTTTTTCTTTATTTTCTTTGCCGTATTTTAAGTCGCTAGCGGTAAATAAAATTAAAACTGCAGTATAATAGAACATCAATTATTACAGTGTGATTTTAGTAATGGTCTAATTAATGCAATATACGAATGAATCCACTGCCAAACTATTAAAGAATGTTACAATTGAAAATTATGTTTTATTTTTCCTTAACTATTTCCCATTTTTACATATTGGTGACGAACAAGATAATCTAATATAAAAAAAAAGTTTTTTTTTTTAATAAGATAAGTCAGCAAACGATGAACATCCGCAACACCAAAGGAGTGCCGTTGCCGGCCTTTTGGCGACAAGGGTTTAGGATATTTATGGATTAGGAGGGGTTGGGGGGAGGGGAGGGATTCGGCCTCCGGTAACCTCACTCACACGGCGAAACACGACGCTGTGGTTATTTCACGCCGGTTTTCTGTGAGGCCGTGGTATTACTCCATTCGAGTCGACCCATTCGTGCCAATGCTTGGCTTTCCCACATTCAAAATGTTTTAAAATATTGGAACAAACTCTTCAGCACCATTTTATGGTATTTATAAGTCATAGTTTCTCAACCTTTTTCCATGGCTCGACACCTTTTGTATGGCAATAATATAACGCGATCCCCTTAGTCGTTACTTTTTCCGTATATCATTTTTATGTCGTGGAAATTATTCAATAAAACATATTTATTAATTTCCATAATTAAAGTCGGTACGTAAAATACTGCCCCGGCTCAGATTTAAAATAGAAGAGATTTAATATTTGTTTTTGTTTAATCTTTTAAGCTTTATTGTTTTTTTTTTCTACTGTAATGGCTTACCATCCGGTTGCAGGTCCCATTTAAAAGCTTCGCGACACCCTTAAAAGGACCCCGACACTTACACATTGAGAAACACTGGTATGAATACATATTTAACAAGGCTTTATTATGCAATATTATTAACAGCGGATCTAGCAAACTATGGACAATGTATGAAAAATGGTGCGCCTGAAAAAACAGGATTTTCGGTAATACTCGTTCGCATTTATATGAAACCATAATATCTGCATATGATATCGATATTACCAACAATGAACGAATACGCAGAATGCGTTTATTTCGTACTTGTTTTCTGTTCGTTAATTACTGAAATAAAAATTAAATTATAAAAAAAATGTAGATTTCAGTTAGTTGCAATGAATTTCTATTATTTAGAGCAAAAACCCAATAGTTATGCTTCCGTAAACTTCGGGTGTGACGTCATTGATATGGCGCTGTTTTGTTTTACGCTCACAAAGCATTAGAAGAAAAGTAGTTGAATTTAGAAAGAGACTGCAATATTTTCTTTCTGTTTCATTTCAAGTGACATCATTATTGTGTTATTTGTTGTGGAATTGTAAAAGTCGCAATTATACTGGTTTGCTTAGTATAACAAGTAGGCTTGCTTGCGTATACTCGTCACTTTTCATGGTAATGTTATAACTCAACAATGCCTTTAGCGACTTAACTAATTTTCGTCTTAAATTATTCGTGGAAGTTCAGAAAAGGTACGTACGTAGAGAAAATTTAAAAAAATATAAATGTGTAAAATCGACATTCACGCATAATATGATAGATGCAGATAAGGAAAGTAAAACAGTAGTATTAGGCACAACTTTGTCCGAACTTACTTCAAGAATAGCTAAGGAAGAGCTATGACTTTCCACCACTAGCTCGTATCCATAGTCCCTCATTGCTTCCTCTAATGCTGCCAAGGTTCCTATGGGTCGTTCCCTTGAAGGCTTTGCTATTAAACTGGTGAGGTTTGCGGAGTACATGTCTCCTATGACGTAGGTCGCTCCGAGAGAGATTAGAACTGATACGAGACGGGCCTTGTGAGTGCTAGACGGCTCCTTACTGGATGCTGGGAAAATAGAAAAAAGGTAAGGTAAGTCGTTTTTGGTTGGTTAAAATATTTTTAGTTACTATAAGTAAGCTTAATCTGCTATAGCCTGATGCGTCTGTAGTTTTTTTGGAGTTTTCTTGTCCTGATTTTTGATTGATGCTCTAGGTTCTAGAGTGACGTTTAGTCTGAACAGTTTCGTAAGTTACACATACAAATTTTACATGAAAATATTGTTATTTTATTATTTATAAACTGATTTTGAGTTTAAAGACTGAGAATTATGTATTATAGTTATTGGCATAAAGAAAGCTATAACACGTCATAATTAGTTTATAACTAGCTTCCTGTTTAATCCTGTCCAGTCCTTAAACAAAAAATAAGTCTTACATTGTCTCAAAAACAGAGTGGTGGTGAACCAGCAGCAGGTGCTGAACAGTGAGAGCTGGTCACATTTACGTTTCTGCCACAACGATTGAGCGGCGATGACTATCCACAGCGCTGGTCCAGTCACTAGCAGCGTTGCAAACACCAGTGGCCATACCTTTAAAATATAAAGAAGCTTAAAGAGCTTTAAATAAATTACCAAATCGAGCGATGGGGGGACGATCTGCCAAATGAAGGGAGAAGAATTGCTCGACACAGAAGTGAATGCGACAGAACTGGAGGAGGCTGAAGGTCAACTTGACAAGAAACTGGAATGTAAACCAAAGAGATATTAATGTGATCAGTAAATAAGGGCTTTCATTGTTATGATAATAATTTAATATAAGAATAGAACGAAAGACAAAGAATGTATAGTATTTTACTAGAAACCTGTGACTGTCCCAATGCAAAGGCCTTTTCTACACAGAAATGAATAAAAATTATTCACCACGCTACTTAGCTCAAATCTGATTGGCGATTTCAAATATATAATTTTAAATTATCCAGACTGGTTCAGGTTTTCTAATAAGGTTTCCTAATAATTATTGCTACTTGAACTAGTGTTTTACTGTATATTCTATATACAGTAAATACATACATAGAGAAATTTTAAATACCTCCCACTGAAATGGCCTAATGATGGCCAGGGTTTCACTCAGTTTGGCTGGAGCATGAGTCAGAAAAGCCCCCGAGTCGGCCAGGGTCATGAAGGAGAATTCCACTGCTTGCAGACGTTCCCATGTCATTGTTACATCGCCGAGGAAGAAATCAGCTTTCTAAACAATTATGTATATTGATTAAAGAGCTGGCATTCGTGAGTTAAGTGAATGTAGGACTGGGTCTCCATTATTATGGATGTCTATTTTTTTTATGGAATAGGTGGCAAACGAGCAGACGGATCACCTGATGGTAAGCGATCGGCGCCGCCCATGGACATCCGCAACACCAGTGGAGTCACAGGTGCGTTGCCGGCCTTTAAGAAGGAATATGCTCGTTTCTTGAAGGTTTGAAGGTCGTATCGGGTCGGGAATACCGCCGCCGGAAGATCATTCCAAAGTTTTGCTGTGCGGGGCAGAAAGTTTCGGGTGAATCGCACTATTACTAGAGGTTCAAGTGCGTTGCCAGAATTTTTAGTGAAGATGGTAAATACATTTCCTGTTTTGTTAATCACACTTTATAACACAAGGCATGTGTTCTTTGATGCCGGTTTTCTATATAACCGTGGTCTCACCCCAGTTGAGACGGTCCATCTGTCGAACACATTAAAAAAAAAGACGGTGGCCCACACTAGGAATTTTTCCTGCGTCGTGGGTGCGTTTACAAATTCACGTGATAAGACTCGAAACAACAACGTGTGGATCACACAAACAGTTGTTCTGTTCAGGAATCCAACGTGCGAAAACACTGTTTACACACATAATTTGTAAAATCAAAAAAGTTGGATACAATCAGTACATTACATACACATCAGTACATTGTACAGTTATGACTGAAAACAAACAACGCACAATTTAATTGTTTTGTCCAATTCCTTTGAGTAATTATTTTGTCTGTAACTATGGATACTCACACGTTTCCAAATCAAGCCGAGCGTGCCCTTGAAAGTTCCGTTGCCAGAAATACTTGACCCTTGGCTTCTGTCTGGTGGATCGTAGTACTTATACCTGGAGGACGAAAAGAGGTTATGAGTTGAAAGAGAAATGTAGGACATGGGCTTCGATTATTATACAAAAATTTGGTTCTTCATGCAAGATAAGAAGGTAGAAATTGGAGTTTCAAAAATGAATGAAAGGAAAAAAGTAAATAAAATGAAAAAGAAATCTTAAACATCTAAGACTAGTTTTAGATAGAAATAGGAGGTGTACAATGAATACACATGTGTTTTAAGAAAATTTTACGACTATCACTTAAAATCTTGCAGATATAAAAAAATACGGATTTTAGGACCAGCCTTGGTAGTGGATTTGGTGGACCGACGACCTCGTTAGAGTCGCAAGGAGCTAATACTCGTAGATGCAACTTGTGAGTTGTGTAGTTATAAGGGGGATACCACCTTGATGATGGTGATAATTATTACGAAAAATAAGCTTTATATTGTAGTATATCCAATAAAGGTCTTCAAATTTAAAATGATCAGGTGATGGTTTCTTACTTGAAGTTCAGTTTCTTCGCAATTAACGCAAGCAGTTTGTCATCGCGTCCTCCAGTAACGGTAATCGTATTGTCGTTGTTGTACTTCACAAAGTGCCATGGCGGTGCCTTTAAAGAAAACTTTAATAAGTATTTGATTTTTCCACAGAAATGCACCTATGAGTGTTAATGTGGGAGGGCCATGCTTAGGAACCGTGTTTGGAACAAATGGGACCGCTATCGTAGCTGTCGATAGCTTACCATTAGGTAATCCGACTCCTCGTTTGTCAACCTATCACTTATAAGAAAAATAGATTTGGCGGCAAACTAGTAGTCGGATTACTGGAGGTGTTGTTGCTGATGTTGAAATTGTTTGGGGATTTAATTAGGGAGAAGGGAATGGATTGGGCCTCCGGTAATCACGCTGACACGGCAAACTAAAACGCTTTTGTTTGGGAGGGGAAAATCATGAAATGGCTTCTCCTGCCCAGGGTCGGGCGGGAGGGAATGTCAGACTCTAACTGACTAAAAACCCTCCGTTCCTTCTCCTGCTCTGGGCCGAGGTCACGGTGCATCATTGCCTTACCCTGCAATCCCGGCTGAACATCAGCCCTATAGTCAGCTCTTTGTGGCGCGCGCCGAACGCTACGCGCTTTACGCTCGGGTCTAGTTCTGGTCAGGCGGAAACTGCAACGCTGTGGTTGTTTCATGCCAGTTTTCAGGCCTTGGTATCGAGCTGGCCTATTTGTGTCGAAGCATGGCTCTCCGAAATTAAAATCATGAACCTTGAGATCTCTGTGTATAAAATAGCCTGGTATAATTTAAACAGCCTTAAGAACTTACGTGTAAGACTGGAACTTCAAAGACTCTTCCCTTAAAGTCATGGTAGACTTTATCAGGCGGTGGAAGTACAGGAGACTTGTACAGACGACCTGACCACCAGTTCACGAGGGTCAAGTGGTTCAAACGATTTGAAGTGCCTTGGTTGTAGTAGATACGGAACCTGGATGAAAAGGTATATGGTTAGGGAAGGCAAAATAATAGTGGCAGGCGGCCGACGGGCATATTGTGCGCTTGACAGACTTAGTTTAAAAATGTAATACTTTATGAGGATTTTTTATCTCGCAAATGTACATAGTTCTATACTATGGGATCTTCTTGAAGGTTTCATGGAATCTTCTTCTATGGGATCTTCTTGAAGGACTTTCATTTAATTTCGCGAAAACGAAAACTTAAGTAAAGCACACAAAGTATCCTAAACATTTCAACACAAATAATTCTTAGAAACGAAACATCAAACAATCCAAAAATAATAATTTAATCATCAAATTCGTAGCGTCAAAGACCTCTAAAGTGACACTAATTCCATCAGAACTTCTAATCTTATTACACACAACAAGTAAATTAAAAATAAACCTTATTGAACAATATTTCCACGTAAACTGGGTGCTAAAATTAAGAATGACGGCTTCATTGCGGTAAACTAATAAAGGGAACGAATGTTTTCTTTGGCGCTTATAAAATATTGGGAGCCAACTCTCAATCGGCGTACGTCTCAATCAAATTAAGGAGCACGTGATTGTCCAAGACTTTGTTGTCGTTGAATTTCGTTGTGCGGCTATTGAACTCACGTGGGGGGATAAAATTTTTCGTACCCCCAGGCCTGGTTGGCAATCAGTTGGCGGTAGGGTTGGTAAAAGTGATAGAAATATTTTGTAATGGTCGACTTGTTAGGTTTTATGTGTGTATTTTAGTATGTGATTGATTGAAAACGATTTGAGATAAAACAGTGTAATTATGTAAAAACTTAGTTGCAAAATAAATATTAAACGGTTATTTAACTTTTAAAGAACACGATTAAGTAAGTACAGTACACTTACTTTTTCTAAACATTATCTTTAGCCAGTAAATCAAACTCACACTTTGAAGAAGTACGTAGTAATAGACGTTTCTTACATCAGTTTTCCTCGTAATTTGACGGTCAATACAAAAGAAAGTCGTATCTTTGTATCAATAATTGTATCATTCTCGAATGTCTAACGAAGCGACTTGATTCTTTCGAATGCTCACCAAAAATTTGACTCACAGTTAAACGCTATGTTATTGACGTGAGGTAGTCCGTTTTGGTAAAGTTGACTTGACTACTTCATTCTTTTTGACGTCACTAGTACGTACAAATATATCGTCACTAATACGTAAATAATGTAAGTACCTATATGTATAAACTATAGGTACGATACATTAAAAATGATGGACGTTGAAACTCATTAACACTAGCTTTAAGTATTTTTTTATTTGAGCAGTGGAAAATAACCAAATTATGACTTGATCCGCCTTGGGTAAGGCGAGTATGAGTGCCACGTTTTTACTGACTAAAACCCACCCCTTCTTTCTCGGGCCGGGGCCGCGGTACATCAAAGCGCTTGCATCTAAAACCCCGGCCAACAGTACCCCTTAACATCGCCTGTCACATCATCGATAAACGTCCACACAACCTACGTTAGTTGTAATGTAAATTAACCCACTGTATGCATTTATTTTACATCGAAAACCTACAAACAATACACGAAGGTCCATCCATTATATTGAAACGTCAATATGTCTAAAATTTAATTCGAATTTGTTTACATTGTAGTGACGTCACAGCCACACCAGATATTGCATTAACTGGTTAATGTTTTAAATGGGGCGGAAACCCGATGTTCAATACTAAATGAGGATAAGTTATTGAGTGTTCCCAATTATTAAATCGTGGGAAATGGATTTCCAATTGGAATTGAGTTATTATTTGATAGCTTTTTGGTAGGTATTGTTAGGGTGAGTGGACGAGATAGCCGAGACAATTCGAATTCAGGCAACCTATTATTATTATTTTAAAAGTTGCCACACACTAGGATTTGCTCCTGTGTCGTGAGTGCGGTTACAAACATACAATTTCGCATACACATGACACCCAGACCCGGAACAACAAATTGTTAATCACACAAAGAGCTGTTCCGTGCGGGAATCGAACCAGCGACACGTTGCACGGTAGTTAGTTGCCCATCCACCGCAACAACCGTGCAGTCAATTCCTATTATTCAAATAGGAAAGAAATATTTTTGACTTAACAACACTCACGTGAATTAACTAACAAGACTAGCTACTAGTAGAGCTTTTGGCAGTAGAGAAATAAATAATAAGTAATAGGTATACTTTACTGAATATTTTTTAACGAGTACACTTATAAATTGTTCATAAAATCTTTATTTTTTTAATTGTATTCATAATTTATTTATTTATTTTACTTTTTCGTCTTTTTATTAAACAAGTATGATGATTTTTGATGCAAAAATATAATAACTTTTTTTAGGGCTGATTTTTTAAATCTTATCTGAGGAATAAAATTGTTGCTGTCACTGTCTTATACAAACATTCTGACAATACCATCATAATTATACCCCAGGTAACTTTTATCTAACCATTGAAAAACCAGCTTTTAAAGTAACATAAAAATATAGTTATAGTTTTTGTCATTTCGATTAGTAGTACCTAGATTTTAAGCCTATCCCAATAAAGCTGGTCTAACAATAATCATGGAATCAATTTGCTTAACCCTAAAATCCGTATAAAAAAAATATTAAAAAAAAACATTTTTTCTTTCGTCAATAAATATGCGTCAATGTTGTGTATCGTTAACCCAATTACACGACGGTGGGTAGGTAGCTATATACTCATTCAATTATTACATTATCCATTAATTATAGCTTCATCGGTATTTCCATTATGTTTTAGCGCTGTAGAGTGGCAAAGCTTTTAAAATACCGCTGTTTTATTATTAAAGCATTTTTGTAAACTGAATGCTTGTAATAGTATTTTTAAAGATATAAGTATCTAAAGTTATTTTGTTATATGTCATTTATTATTTGACTGTTTCCGTCCTCTGCTGAATACAGTGCTTTCAGCAATCGATTGTTTTACGGATGTGATGGTCGATATGGTCAAAGTAGATAGCAGTGCAGCATAGAAAGAAATACACGAATACGTTAAGAATATCCATACTATATGTTAAGAATATAAATACAAATATGTTAAGAATATCCATACTAAAATTCATTGATTGTTCGAACTCTATACTAATATTATAAAGAGGTAAAATTTGTAAGTTTGTATGTTTGTAAGTTTGTGTGTAGAGGGTAAACTTTGGAACGCTGGTCACCGATAGATAGCTACAATGTTCGTTAGTGCTATAGGCTATTAAACATCACGCTACGATTAAATGGAGCCGAGCACCGGGTGAAACCGCGCGAGAGTAGCTAGTAATTTATAATCTTATGTTTCTAGTTTAAAAATAAGTATGGTATTTGACGTCACAACAAGCAATCCCATATCAATTCATAGTAATCTGTAAATTTTTACAAATCGAAATAAGTATTTAATCTTACTTTGTTCGCATTTATCGTATCCATTCGTGGCGAAGCTATGCTCACCCATACTTGTCATCTCACCCTAGACGGGCGAGAGGGAATGTCAGACTCTTACTGACTAATTTTATTTTATGTGATAGGTCGGCAAACGAGCAGACGGATTACCTGAGCAATCAGCGCCGCCCATGGACACCCCCGCAACGGAGGATTTACGAGCGCGTTGCCGAACTTTTAGGGATTAGGGATTTGGAGATTTAGGGATTGAGGGGGGATTGGGGGGAGGGGAAGGATTGGGCCTAAGGCCTAACTAAGAACCCCCCACGCTCCTTCTTCTATTTCAGAATGAGGCCACGGTTCATTATTGCACTTGACCCACAACAGTGAAAAACCCGCGACTGCATTAGGTTACAATAATGTGACGTAAAAAAGAAATGTTATGGAACATTGTTGTCTCTGCAGAATAAATTGCTATAAGTGCTTACTGCTGAGCAAAAGCCTCTTCTGTCACGGAGAAGGTTCGACTATTGAACAACGCGCATGCTCAAGGTGGACTAGCGATTTCAAACTTATAATTAGAAATGAAAAAGAAAAATATAAATCAGAAAGAAGATCTATAAATTTGACAAGCAGTGCCCTCTAATAAACTAGACTCTCCTTGTCAATTGTGAAAATTCTGGTTAACTCAGCACTGAACTATCATAGGCTGATGAACACAATGAAACTCACACACTCTCCCTAGGATTGGTAAGGACTGCAACCCTCATGGCTTCCTTGATAGTCATCAGAAACGTCTCACTAACCGGTCCATAAGACCAGTAGAAGATATACAGGATCATGCTGTGTATCAGGTTGTTATCTGTCAACTGAAACGATTTATCCAAATAAGAATTATAATTATAATTATGTAGTCAAAGTTATTGAATAAACTTAATGCCGGTTCTGCACGGGTACAAAATTGATATACTAAATTGCTATACTTATAATTATTTTTACATATTAATCTTCCTTTTCTTCAATATCTATGAAAAACTCCTTTTTTGAAAAACGTTAACCCACACTAGGATTTTCGTGTCGACGGTACATTTATAAACATACACATTACACCCACATAAACAACAATGTAACAAGTCACAAAGAACAAGAACCTGCGAGGATCAAATTAAAAAAAAAGTTTTTATTTTGTAGAAAAGTTTACTGTGTTAATCAAAAAATGCCAGAATTTCTTATTGTTATAATGTAATACAGCATATAATCTAACAAAGCAGCCATTTTGTAAAAAATCCCTTTGGTACCTGTCTTCTATTATAACCTCCGTATACCTAGACTCCATTTACTACCATGTGCCGTAGCCAACTCAATAGGATTAAACCCCAAGTAAATTAATATTACTGAATAAATTATATTTGTGTAGTAAATTAAAATTGTGTGTTGAATGGCGTAACAGATTCAACTGCATGCTTTTAATAATGTCCGGGACCGTTAATAAATTCAAATAGAGATGCAAAAAGTGATTTATTAATGCAGTCAGCGCCATCTTTTTAATTAATGTAAACTGTGGAATATTAATTATGGAACGTTGTAATTCATGTTCGATTTTGACTGATGTTATCTTTATAATGAGCTGGGAAATTTTATTTGTTCATTATTGAGTTTAGGTTTTTTGTGATACCAACTTAACTATATTTTAAAAAGCGTTATTAACGCGCTTATAAAATGCTTGGATATTCTCGTCACAAATATCACAAAGCCTGAAGACAAAATTCTTCAATGAGTGCGTCCTTCCAGTGATGACATACGGAGCCGAGACGTGGACACTTACGGTTCGACTGATACTCAAATTTAAAGTCGCAGGGAGTTATGGAAAGGGCTATGCTTGGAGTCTCTCTAAAGGATCGTATTCAAAACGAGGTGATCGGACAGTGGACTAAACTGTCCGGTCACCTCGTTTGAGTATCAGTCGAACCGTAAGTTATCGTCATAGCCCAAAGGACTAGTAAGCTGAAGTGGCAGTGGGCAGTTCACATTTGTTGAAGAGTCGGTGATCTTTGGAGTAGACTCTTGGATTAGTGTTCTAAAGTAAAGACCCCGTCTAGGCAAACGTAGTGTAGCGCCCTCCAACTAGGTGGACTGGCGATATCCGCAGGGTAGCTGGCACTGGTTGAATGACAAGAGATGAACATCGAGCTCAGTAGCGTGCAACAGGGGAGTCCATTGTCGAGCAGTGGTTGAAATCAGGCTAATGATGATGATATATGTATTTCTGTGAGTAATGACGATAGATGTCTGTGTACAATCGTGTAGGCGTTGTTTCTGTTTAAAACCAAAATTCTGCCATCCGATGATGATGATTATAAATATTAATGACAACATGGCAGTTTAAATTTAATCACTGCATAGAATAAAACAAAGTCGCTTTATCTTTAAAACTACGCAACGGATTTTGATGCGCGGTTTTTTAACAGATGGAGTGATTGAAGAGGAAGTTTTTATATGTAGGTATAGTAAGATTCATTAAATAATAGAGAAATGTAACATCAGCATAGCCGGGGTGGGTTGCCAGTATTGAGTAAAAAAAGGAAATTTTGAAATTACCTCAAAAAGAATGTTCTCGCATTCGTAAGGCTCGCAGAGTATAAGACTGGTCCGTTGATCTGACACGTCTAAAGCCTTTTTCAGTAACTCGTAATACTGAAACATAGAATATAATATTCAGTTCTAAGGAACATAAATGATATATGGTTATTTCGGTTATGATAGAACCAAAGTTGACAAGCTTAGCGTAAATAAAATTGACAATAAATCTGGATATTCGATTCTCGCTAACTGGTCCTGAGCTATCGTGGTGATTAATGATCATTCCACCTTGTCAGAAGAGGCTTACGTTTAGCAGTGAGCATTTATTTGTTTTCGTACATTAGTGGTGATGGCTTATGCCAGGTCCCCATCTTGAACAGGTCTCTAACATCTTAAATCAAAATAATCTTAAGTGTGGGAGAGCCTAGCTTCGGCACGAATGGGTCGGCTCGACCGGAGTGACACCGTGAAACAACCACAGCGTTGTGTTTCGCCGTGTGAAGTTACCGGAGGCCCAATCTTTCCCCTGCCCTGATCCCTCCCCAATCCCTTAACCTCCAAAATCCGAATCCCTAAAAGGTCGGCAACGCACTCGTTACTCTTCCGTTGCGGGTGTCCATGGGCGGCGCTTATGGCTTACCATCGGGTAATCCGTCTGCTCGTTTGCCGAACTATTACATAAAGAAAAACAAATGTATCGCCTGTTCAAACTGTGATAGAAATGGAAAAAATGAGAAGACGAATTACCTGATGGTATGCAATCGACCCTGCATAAAGACACCCTCAACAACAGAGGAATAACAAGTGCGTTCGGACTCTTTGGAGTGTAACAGAAAATCTTTCAATTAAAAATTTTGATAAAGGCTTCCCGCTGGGTGGACCGACGACATCGTCAGAGTTGCTGGGAGCCATAAGATGGAGGTGGAGTGTTGTCGTTTGACGTGGGAGACTAAGGGGGGGACCTTTTTTCAGCTGTGAACGTCTTCCAGCTGATGATGATGATGATGATGATGAAACATTTTGATACGCAACATCGAACATAATGGTAATTTGTTAGATACTAGCTCCTTAACAAACTAAGGTAGAGCAATAACTATTTTCATCTACACAGAAAAATGTTTCTTGAAATAATTTCTCGGAAAGGCTAGGAAATTGGGATTTTATTTTACCTTTTGTTTGTTTTCCTTTGTTGCTATGTCCAGATTCGTAGTCAGAACATTGTGTTCACTGAGCATACATAACAGTTCAAATACGTCCTGTGACCTGTGTGAGCAAATAGACTATATGTTGTATATTACATATACCTACATATGTATGTGTAAGTTTTGTCGTACATATCAGTATTTTTGATTTCTTCTCGATAGAAACGTATATATTGTAGCCATTTTTATTAAATTAGTTTGGGGAATTAGGCCTATGTTTGGTACTCTTCAATATAGTATTTCCTTCAAGATATTTTCCGATGTGGCCTTGAGGCTAAGCCTAGTTCTCAAGAATGAGGGAGTGGGTAAAAATCTGGTAACTAAGTATGCAATTTTTTCATATTTGTATGTAGTTTCTAAGCTACTTAACAGACAAACGGTAAAGAAATGGACTAATAATTTCTAATTACAGTTTGAAGTAGCCTATCCGCTTTGAGCAAGCGTAGTGATTGAGGCTCAGCATCATGTAAAACCGATTTCAAAAATTAAACTTTACTGGACTCTTTTCTGAAGTAATTCTCGGAGCCAGTGCTCGCCGCGTCGTCCTTCTAATGCGGTGCCAAAATTCCATAAAACTTTACTTTTTTGAATGCAAAAATAATGTTTTAAACTGGACCATAGATGCTACAGATTAATAATAAAAAAAATAACAGTCGAATTTCGAACTTTCTCCACTTTATTTGAAGACGTTTAAAAACACAAAATTACCTGATATTAGTCGAGTTCCCTCTGACAATGGTAATGCTCTTCGAAGGCAATGCTTCAGCAATATCCTTTACAGCAATTGAGAAGTCTTTCGGCAGCGTAGTCATCACATCTGAAGTCACATCTCTAATGTCGAAAAACCCATGAGCTGACACACAATGTATGAACAATATTATTCTCAATAATTTTATTAGCAACATTTTTTTTTGTTTTTGAATATTATCTTTTATTTCCTTTGCGTTTAAGTAGATTTTTCTCTACAGATTTTTGGGTTCAATTAGCGTCAAAGTGCGTAGTGTTTTGTTTATGGACACAGACAAGATTATTTATGTATAACATAAAATAAAATATATAATCCCATAATAATTTATATAAAATTCAAACTAGAAACATCTACATTTCTATATAAATCTCTTAGAACTAAGTTCCTTTGAACTAAATTCTAATAATTTGTAACGAATTCAATGCTCTCTCCAACCGACCGAGTTCGATGACTGGCTCGCGACTAATTCTCTCTAATATCTTATAATATTACCTATTTCCTACGTTATATTTTTGTCAAAGATTAATTGTGGAGATGGGACATTGTTATGCGTAAATCATATTAATGCTGAATCAACTTATAATAGTATGGATGGATATTTGTTTTTCAAGGAATAAGAGATTTTTTCAATAGAAACTATGTTCCAAAGAATTAGTTTCTCCAACGTCAGAAGTGGTTAAGCGATTTTATACTCTGATACAAGCTATCATAGAGTAATTATATTATTTATACAGGTCTTTTTTACCCCTTGATATGTCGCAGATATACGCGAGACACACCGGCAGAAAAGAGGTTAAATAAAGTAGGTACTTACTTTATTAATTATGTTATTATATAAAGAAGGTTGTGAACACATTTTATGGTTGATATATTCTGACTAGATTAAAACCCTTTACGTTAAATAAATAAATATTAAAAAAAAATTGCTTTAGCCTGCAACTTAGTCTTAGTAGGACTGTGATTATAAATAGAATTTCTTTTTGTTTTAATTTCTAAAACCATGGGCGAGATCTCGAGTCTCAGATTGTTACCCCGGTCCTTCTACTTCTAGTCGAGGTCAACTTAGCCTTTTGCAACCTAACCCCAATCGAGTGCAAGCGCTGTACTACTTAATGTACGTACCGCGGCTCAGCCGTAAGCAGAAGAATACTCTCGTTAGTTTTAGTCAGTCTGACACTCCCTCTGGCCTTACCCGTGGCAAGAAAAGTCATCTGATTATTTTCCGCCCACAAAAATTGGGTAGGTTTCCTAGTCATAAATAAATTGTTTCATAAATCCTTATATAACCATAAAAACTTAAAAATATAACCTTCATTCATTTGCGATATCCTTGAGATTTGTAATTTATTTATATAGGTTAAGAGAAAGAAGTATGATATTTGACGTTAAAACATATGACGTCACAACGTGCTATTTATCGATATTACGAATGTAAAATTACATTTATGACATTCTTATGACCAATTTAATTCAATTTTAATCTTCGTTACAATAATATTTATATGTGACATGGCAATCTTAATTCTTAATTAATTCTTAATCTTTATTTTAATAATATTTACAAAACCAATACAGCAACTTTAATCCTATAAATAATATTGACATTTTATTAATTTGTATTATACAGTAATATTTGTACGCCATAGTATGGCAGGATATGCTGGAATCAAAACTGTAACATCTATTGTACCATATTCTGACAAATAAACATTTTTGATTTTGATTTGATTTGACATATTCAAATCTTATGACATCTGTTCATTATATTTTTGTTCTTTGGTCCGTGCAACGAAGTATGTCGGTCCCCTCTACGCCTGTGGATTGGCGTTTGACGAGTTAAGTGGCTACTTTTCATCGGAAGGGCCCACATGACCGATGAGTTGAAAGCTTTACCGTGTTGCCTTGCACATTGAACACCTTTGGGTTAAAGGATGACTTCGTACTAAAGTGAAGCATACGAGTTTTAGGGTATGAAAAAAGAAATCTTTAAGATTTTTCATGCTTAGTACTTTTTCAATACCGCACGATCATTAGTCGCTCAGCCGGGGTTGCGGGGTAAGCGCAATGAGGCACCGCGACTTCGGCCCAGAACAGGAGAAGAAACAGGGGGGATTTTAGTCAGTAAGAGTCTGGCCCTGGGCGGGAGAAGTCATTTGATGATTTTCCCCTCACAAAAAAAAAACGATCATTAATCGTTCAAATGCAAATAAAATTATTTCTGGTACATTAGATTTTACAAGTATTTCAAAATATGAGTAATGACACAGATTGTCACTTTTTTCTTAACAGGCCGCGTAATGTACTTAGCCTGAATGGCTAGGTCTGAGTTGCCTCACTTTGAAGATGCGGAATACGCAACGTACGCGACTTCGAAGAAGGTGTTATTATTCTAATCCTAAAATATAAAATAAGCAAATGACATACAATGTGTATTAAATTTATCCCTTGGTGTGGTGCACATTAAATTATGTTTGCCAAGGGAAATCAACGAAGTAAAATTAGCTAAATAGCCCATAATATTTCAATGTCTTTTTCAACTTGAGGTGCTTACGATAAAACTTATTGCTGTGACAAAGAGCTGTTTTATGCATAAGATTTTTTTTGCTGACTGTTATGAAATGGTTTGATATTATTTATTATTATTTTTTTTTGTGAGGGGAAAATCATCAAATGACTTCTCCCGCCCAGGGCCGGGCGGGAGGGAGTTTCAGACTCTTACTGACTAAAACCCCCCCTGTTCCTTCTCCTGCTCTGGGCCGAGGTCGCGGTGCCTCATTGCGCTTACCCCGCAACCCCGGATTATTTAGTATTACTTGGTGTTTTTCTTCTTTTTGGCTGCTCGTCATCCGCTAGTACCTAATGTAACGGCCTAAAAGAATTAACCAAAAAACCAGTACAAGCGCCAAACTTTTGTGAAACTGTAATATACATATATCTATATTCCTATACTAATCTATACTATCTATACTTATATTATATAGTATATGCGAAAGTAACTCGCGAATATAACGAGTCGCGGGCAAAAGCTAGCTAAATATAAAATTGTAATTTTAATTTATATTCAACGCAAAGTTCCGGCTATTTTAAGTGTAATTATTTACATAATATTATTATGTATTTTTTATTATCACTTTATATACAACCCTGTTTTGTCGTCAATAAAGATAAACGAATAAAAAATAAACATGTGGTCATAATTTTAATAACAGCTGAATTCCAATATTTTTAATTGAGTTTCGTTAAAATTATATTTTAAATAAATATACATGTATAAACCATGAAAAATATAATTTATACCGTAATCGAAATGTTTTATCCGATACACATATTAAAACTTTTAAGTTTATTAATTTGTATGTGAAAAATGTCCAGGTTGCCGCGGAATTCAAGTCTTTACATATCACTAAGCGAAGTTGTGTCTAAACGTTGAACTTTAAAGGGTATAAAGGTAATGTTATGAACAACCTTTATATTTATCATCAGAACCTTAATATTCGTTAGCCACAATCTATGACGTATTAAAAAAAAATAAGTCATTTTAGTCGTTTTCTACTATAAATTAAAAACGATTTCTTCACAAGTGTTTAAGTAACTTTAGCAAATAGCTAAAAAAACTATATTAAGTACAGAAGTTTCTAGAAAATCTTTTGTAAAGTTGTTGCATAAAACAATTGTTTACTAAGTTAATGCAGTAAAAAGTAAGGTGTCGGTTAGATCGTTTATCCTCGGATGCAATTTAACTGTAGCCTAGAAAACAGGGTAGGGGTGCTAGTTGATAGGTCAGCTATTTGTTAACCAAGCACTTGTTGGAAGCGAATAGAATCTACGTTTTAATTTTATTTTTTCTTATGTCTATGTATTAAAGTTGTTGATCCTGGTCTGGGTGCATGTGTATGTGAAACTGTATGTTTATAAACTTATCCAAGATACAGAAAGAAATCCCAATATGAGACTCTTACTGACAAACCCCCCCTCCCTCTCCTTCTCCTGCTCTAGGCCGAGGCTGCGGTGCCTTATGGCACTGGCTGAAGTTGGTTGAGGGTTGTGGTTTGGTCTGAGCTTCGGTATCGTGGATTCTTATTATTGGGGTTGATAATTTTCTATTTCATAATAATAGTGTCGAGTCCAGATCTCGTCTAAACATTTTAGACTAATTTTCTATAAACAAAACAAAGACGAAACAATTATTTTTCAAAAGTGTTATTTTCATTTCACACCAATAAAGTCTAATATTACATGTCGCAATCCATGATTTGGTCAGTCAAAAGTATTTCTTAATCAAACCATAAATATGTAAAAAAAAACCTTAGGTACATAGGATGACACAGTCTCACATAAGGCAGTCCAGCATATCACATGTCATACGATGTCGGCTGTGGGGCTGTCGCTCCAAGAATTATTAATACACCTATGAAATATCAAATGTAATAAATGTCATAGGCCAATGTCATAATTATTTATAAGAAATAAAGTAATACGGTAGTTGCATAATCAAATTCAATACTTTTATTATTGAAATGTAGACAAAGAAACAAAAACGATACTTTTCTATAAAATCGCAATATGGCGTCATAATGAATTTAAGTGAAATAGATGTCTGAAAAAACTGGTTTAGATAAAAAGAAACTAAAATTAACCACATTATTCAAATCAATGATTGAAAGCATGACATATGTATTTTAGTATTTAATTGTATTTAAAAGTCAAAACTAATAATTTTTGACCTGAAGTAAATAATAATAGGGCTTAATACATTTATATTATTGGTAATATGAAGACAAATCGCTAAGTGTATTTCTAAGCTCAAAACTCGAGAATGGCTGGACCGATTTTGGCGATTCGTTTCTTTTAGTTTTCCATTTAAAACGAAAATGTAGAGAAAATTAGTATAACAGGCAGCTTGGATTCGAATCGATCTCAGAGTGTATGTCAGATCATTAGTCATGAGATCGCTATATGTACATATTGGGAATATCCTACAATTTCGAAATACCCATTAAACTAGACAAATACAAATAAGAAAGAAATATTTATATTTATGATTAATCATAATATATTTTATAAATTACTAAATGATGTTGACGATCACGGTTGATCTGTCACCT